GATATTAAAGTTATTTCGGCTCACCTGCTTTACGAGATAAAGTTTTTCACCAATTTTTTTTCTCTTTGTTTTTTAAATAAAAATATTTGTTTCCTCATATGAGTTAATCATGAGATATAAGGCTTACGCTCCTCCTCCTCCTTATAGGTAAAGACATCCGTTATTGCAAACAAATTATTTCCCTTCTCAGCTAACACTCCAGCCTCCCTCCACATTCGTAAGCACTGTCTGGATGTATATTATTGTTTATTTAATCATCAATCAATTGGTATAAGTCCATAATCATCATAAAACCTAGGGTTCATTTGTGTCTGAGCTGGAAATTAAAAATCCTTTCTCCTGATCAGGGTGAAAAGCTCTTGGAAGTACAAGCGAGTATGCAGTCGTTGAAGGGAAGGTGTTGGTCGAATTGCGATTGTCATTTATTTGAAAGGGGTATCAATATATGATAAGGTTTGCTTCTCGATTCAAATTTATTTCCCACTATGTGACATTCATACTCCCTTCATTCTTTAGTGGCGATCTCTTGAAAAAATATATATATATACAGGGTTACCAAGCCGAACATACGGAGGCCCCTAAGATGACCCCAGAACGTTCGGGCGTTCAGGTCCCCGTACGGGACCCGAACCTGAAGGGGTTCAGGCCCCACAAAATAATATTGTGACACCTAAATATATATATTTTTTTGAATTTTTTTTTGCAGGTTCTTTGTGATGTAAGGTATCTCCCTCTTAATTTTGAAGCCATTTTATTCAGCCAAAACAAAATGAAAAATCGGCAAAGATGGTGGTGTCAAAACTTACTTATCCACTCACTAATTTGTTTTTTTTTTTCTTTTCACTTTTTATTTTTTCTTTATTTCGGGGCATGAAAAAAAATATTATTTTTTCAAATTTTATTTGTATATATTTTCTATTATGTAAGATACACATATGTAAATTTGCATGGCATTTGTTAGAGCAAAAAAAAAAAAAAAAATCACCAAATATGGGGGTGTCCAAAACGTGCTCGCCCACTCAATAATTTCATTCTCGTTTTATTTTTTATAATTTTGATTATTATTATTTATTTTTATTATTTAATTTTTATTTTAAATTTGGTAAAGAATTTGGATGTAACACAATATTTGTTTCAGATTTTTTGAATTTTTTTTCTTTTTTTTTTGGGGGGGGGGGGGGGGGGGGTCTGCATTTGGCCGAACGGCCGAACGCGTCGAGAGGGGGTGACGAACGTTCGGGCATTCGGGTTCGAGCGTTCGGCTCATCCCGAATGCCGGCAACCCTGTATATATATATATACATAATGAAATGTATTTGGAAATTATTGATGGAAAAATCTCATAGGCACCCAAGGTGGCTTTGCAAAAAAATACAACTCTCAAAAAATAAAAATGGTTAAGTATTTGTGTTTCCTAAATCAAAATCACAGTACTGCTTTCTCACTGGCCTATAACAAACCTTGCAGATTACATGGATCATTGTTAGGTGAAATTAATTTTAACTCTATTGTCAAAGGAGTGAGTGAAAAGTAGAGGATATGTGAATATGCATTCACATAATATTTCATTGGATGGAGAAATTAAGTCTCTAGTCATTAAGGATATATTGAAAATTTGAAAACAGATTATGCTAAACTACTTTTTTTCACGATCGACTAAAACAAACAGCTTTATATTACATTTTGTTTTTAATATATGGATCACGGATACAAATCCGCTCTGCAAGTAATCTAACAACTTTATATAATATATCTTTGCATTTTTGTCTTCGATTTGATGATCTCAACTCATATGTTATCTCATATTTTCGTATTTTGGCCTAAAGCACTACAAGTAGGGACGCTGGAGCAATTTTTATGCATGTTATGTTCGATATCCAGTTCTCAAACATATTATTTATCGGCGGTTGGATTCAGGCTTCAGTAGGTGATTAAAGTTATTAACTATGTAAGTCATTAATACAGAAAATGCTTTTGTCATCTTTGAGATTGCAAGCTTATCACCAAAGTGTTAAAAAAAAAAAAAAAAAAAAAAAGAGACATAAAATAAAACTTTATTTGTATAAGTTATTTTTAATCTCGTGCTCACTGCAACAAGTCATTCATTCGAGTAATTAGTATCACACAATGCATCTGCATGGATCTTCAAAAAAAAATCGATATGTCGAAGGGTTGCTTAACAAAGGTAAAAACTATAGTATAGAGAGCTAAAGGAAAGAGAGAGGGGGAGAAAGAAAAATCGTGACTCCAATATGCAACATACAACATGTAATTTTAAGTAAAAAATCGACCAGATGCATTTATACTAATTAAATGTTTTGAATATATATGAACATTCAAGTTATCAACTTTATATACATTTTAACTCTTGCACAATTAGGCAAAACTAAGAATGTTGTGTGATACAATAAAGCATATTTGCGTATGTGAGAGAGAGTAAGAAAAAAAAAGATAAAAAACAAACCTCCAATCCTAAATGTATCTACAGTCAAATGAATTTTAACATTTTGAGTATATCAGAACACTTTCAGTTGCATATACAAATCGAACATTAGGATGTCAGGGCTAATATACCCTTACAAAGGTATTTGCTTATATTTTTCATTTGATAGAGCAATGGTGTCGTCTACCATATCGGAGCCGATTTGAACTAAAAAACTTGCATGTTTTTGCGCGACACTTTGTGACAGGTTCCTCGACCATTGAGGTCGAGGCATATAGGTAATAAACTTTGGTTAGTTTCGCGCTCGTTATCGGAACGCCCGCTATGATGGTTAAAATTAGTCATAATACCCCCAACCACTGAGGTCGAAGGGGCGCTTGAAATAAATAAACGGAATCAAACAAGAGATAAACGAAATAAAATAAATTCAATGACACAAGCGTGCATAATTAAATGGTTAGTACGTCGACGAGTCTAAAGCCTGCAGCATGGTTAAGAATCAATAAGCCCTGATCATATGGGTGGACTAATTGAATCACCAATACCTTTCTCAACTATTGAACCCGAGCCTGGAAAGTTTGGTAAAATGAACCTGTAAAAACCTCAGGCTACCGGTCCTGTGGGAAAAAAACAAACAAACAGTTTGAGATATTTTTGGAGGGAAAAAAAACAAAAGGAAAAACCAACGAGCTATCTCTCTCCGCGGGGGGGAAAGGGGGGGGGAGGGAGAGGAACGAGCCTTCCTGCGAAAGCAGGAATATTCATTCCCGTTTTTCACACATTCGAACCAACCACGCGCGCGCACGTGTGTG